TATATCAGAAAAATGTCTCCGTGGTTCCAGAAATTGCCAACTTGTATGTGGCCAAACAATTGTTTTTTATGTCAGGGTTTGGTGACATTCAGTGCTGTGACTTTGGACTTCTTGTAGGAGCAGTGGGAATTGGCTATACTCTGCTGTCAGGGTTTTTGTTTTGTTTTGTTTTTTGTTTTTTGTTTTTTCCTTCAAAGATCTCTTACAGAAGTGCAATAGTCCACATTCTGAGAGTCAGAATAATTTCGTTGCAGTCTTTCTTTCCCTGTCTATAATCCCTCAGGGTTCCTAGACAGAGGGCTCTGCATGTGTGTGGGCTGTGTGAACGGAGATTCATATGCCATGGTGAAATCTCCAGAGAGAAAGAGACATTTTTGTGATAGTTTCTCTTTTCATGTTTATCCTTTTGGCAGGTGTTACCATCTTTTGCTTTTTTGCTCCGGGTGTGTTCCGAAGAATCTCCAACTCAATACTCCAACCTCAAAGCCTGCTTTAATGTTTAAATGGGCTGGGACTACAAAAAGACCATTTTCACTATCTGTATGTAGAGAACAGCAAAAACAAAGATATGGGAGGATTTATGAAATTTTTCCTGTTGGAAATGTGATATACTAGTAGACCAATTTATTGTTTTTCTTGGGACCTTTTTTTCTGGATGATTTCTCCTTTTTCTTCAGATGTCTCATTCGTCCAGTGCTGATGTCAGTCTTTGTAAGCAATTAGTGAAGGCTTCCTTTGGGCCCTGTATAACTTCAGTAAATGATTCAGTTTTCTTTCCTACTTCTCCAATTCTTTCCCGAGCATTCAAAGCTGCTGTGCAGCACAAAGCCAGGGCATGACCATTATATAGTTTGCTCTTCTATGGTTCCTTAATTTCCTTCTCCAAGAAGTTGATGTTGGGAGATTTCCATACCTTTAGCTTTATGCTGTATAGTCTTAGCCTCTCCTCTGAACCAGGTACTCTATTGGTATTGTGAGGCAGGCTCTAAAATAGCATTAACCAAGTCTCTCTAGTCTTTAGGGATAATCCTATTACAAACTGACCACGAGTTTAACATCTGCTTCACAAATGGTGAATGCATGCTGTACGAGACTATCGCTTCCTTGAATCTCCTTAAATCTAACGTTGGCACCGGAGTGAGTGCATCGGAGTCATGTAGAAAGCAAAGCCTTCACAGTCTAGGGTGGATAAGTCCTGTAGCGTTTGGAGCCCAGGTGCTTCTAGAGTTTGGGTTGCAGCTGAAGACTTTTAGAGAGACTACAGCAGGAAAATCCCAAACTCAGAGGCTTGGGGGAAAAAAGAAAACTTAGCCAGCTGACCTGCGGGCAGTGACTCTTGGGGTAGCCCTGCTTGCAGCTCCAGACTGGGCCGGTGGCTGCAAAGCCACAGGCAAGGAGCTTTCTCATTAATTCATACCCCAAAAGTTGGGTGTCAGATGTAACATAAATAATAAACACCCCCCGAGACAGATACTGGGGTTTAGGCTGAAGATCAGAAAAGCAAAGCAGCCAGCCACTAGAGAGTTTTTTACCTCTAGTAAGGCTGGGGCGATCCTGTGCTCAGCATGACTGGAGACTGAAAACACTGCACTCCTGTCTCCAACCAGCTTATATTCTCTGTGGCGCTGGGATTATAGGCACACAACACCCAAACCCAGCTTCTATGGCTAACTAGTGTGGCTGCCTGGCCTGTATGACCTCTGGTATGACCGGCTGGTGTGGCTAGCTGTGCACTCTGATCTTCAGGCAAGCTTTATTTGTTAGATCATAAACAAAATATCACCACAAACGGCTCCTTGAGATGCAGCTATATGCATTTTTCTGATTTCTTACCAGTTAGGGGATGGCCCAGCCGGTGGTGGGTGGTGCCATCCATGGGCTGCTGGTCCTGGGTTCTTTTAGAAGGTGGGTTGAGTAAGTAAGCCGTGGGCAGCGCCCCCTCCCCCAGAACCTTTGTATCAGCTCTCTCTTCTTTGAGTTTCTGTCCCGACTTCCTTCAGGGATGAAGAGCAAAGCTGAAGTGTAAGCCTAATAAACCTTTTCCTCCCCTGCTTGACTTTTGGTCATGCTGTTTCACCACAGCAGTACAAATGCTAACCAAGACACTGTCTTCCCCATGTCACCCCTGCCAATCCTCCATTACTAACTATTTTCTCTATTTCTAACTTTATTGAGAACTTTTGTTCCCATCCCAAGGTCCTCTGGTTACGTTCGTGGATGATAACCACATGTGCACTGAAAAACGAAATATGTTCTCTGTACAGTGACAAAAACATCCAGGAAATTGATTTCTCGTTAGACACCCAATCATTGTGATTTTTCACTGCTGTTGCTTTTATTAACTGAGATCACGGTTGCCATTTTCATGATGGGAAATGAAATTCTCGAGGAATTCTCTCCATTTTCTTTACCCATGTGTCTGTCTCCTCATGGGCACATAGGATGTTCTTACTCTTCAACTCTGGCGAATAGTTCACCATCAGTCCTCCGTGTGGTTGTTGTTTGTGGGGGAAAGAATTTAGCACCTCTGACTAAGGATCCAGTTTTCTGGTATTGGGTAGTAATACAGGTTAACGGTTTGGTTTTTGAAAGTTCCAGGATGAATTTCATCTTTTGCCCCAGTTGACATTCCCACTGGGGATTAATGTGGGTACCATTTTTCTCACCTGCATTCATTAAAATCCATTTAAACTTTGCTCTTTGGGGGGCCTGCCACCCAGTTCCCAAATAACTACTAATTATTCTTACCTGGACTTAGTTTGGCTCCTTTCTTGCCAGCTTTTCTTAAATTATCCCATCTATGTTTTGCCTCTGGCCTTTTAGCTTCTCTATTCTGTATTTCTTTCTTTCCTTCTTACACCATGGCTGTCCCATGGAGTCCTCCTCTCCTGCCCTCTCTCTCTCTCTCTCTCTCTCTCTCTCTCTCTCTCTCTCATTTATTCTCTCTGCCTACCAGCCCCGACTGTTTCTCTCTTCTGCCTAGCTATCAGCCATTCAGCTCTTTATTATACCAATCAGGTGTTTTATCAAGTCAAAGTAGCACAGCTTCACAGAGTTAAAGAACTGTAGCTAAAAGAATGTAACACATCTTTACATCATCAAACAAACATTCCACAGCATAAACAAATGTAGCACACCTTAAAATAATATTCCACAACAGCAGTCCCTCACTATGTAGTGCGAGCTGGCACACAGCTTACTATATATTTGAGTCTGGGAAATGAA